ACATGTACATGCACAGTCCTATGTATCATGACATCACAATGAATCTCACCTGGCACGCATTATATAACAACTGGTGCTCAAACTTCTTGATGCCAAGGATGTTCTGGAACATCTCGTACAACTGTTCCTTACTGAGGATGAGCTCTGATGCGGCGGCCGTGGACAACCTCTGTGGCTGCTTCCGTGGGTCCTCTTCCCCTCGGTAAATGGCATCAAATTTGGCCATCCAGGAACTCAGCACAGTATCCTTGCTCAAGCCGTCAATCTCGGGCAAACTCCGGACCCGTTTTTCCACATTGTTCTTGAACACTTCCCTAAAGTCGTGGGACGAGCATCCACCACTTAAAACCATCTTCAAGACCCGGTCACTCTTTAGGAACACCTGATAATAGTTCTGCACGGCGTTGCAGAAGGCTTCGTCAGCCACTATTTGAGTTTCTCCGTTGATGAAGGCCTGGAATCGTTCTTTGATGGTGGTCAGTTGCTGGCGGGTGACTTTGGTCTGCCGCCGGGCCATATCGGTCGGCTGCTTGGCATTGAACGGGTATGCAATGCATCGCATGACAAACACATACAGCTGGAGACGCTTCTTGTGTTCTTCCTCCTCCCGCTGCAACCTCTCCGTTTCCTCCCGCTCTTTCTCACTGATCAAGGATGGACTGGGACTTGCTGGCCGTACCACAGACGCCCGATGGCCGCCAGCCCCGGGGACAGCCCCGCTGCTGGTCTGCAGGCTGTCATTGCTAGACGCGCTCGTTCGCAGCCCGGCCTGGCTCGGCACGGAAAGCGCATCCGTTTCATCCTCGTATGTGTCATTTTCCGACTCCTCTTCGCTCGAAGATGGGTCCAACATGGTCCCTGCAGTAGTCTAGCGTCCCTTCAGAGTTTACTGATTGCCTCCAGCTACTTCTGTGGTCCAAATATTCGCGCTGTCATGACCAGTATCCTGTTAAATTTGGGATTGTCGACAGACACATCAGAGTGCATCTTGACCGATCGCCATGTTTGATACGTCTGCTATCAATTTCTTATCCCAGCGCCAGCGCATGCGCTTGTAACATTTGACGTATTTTTTATGTGCGTACCGTGTCAAGACAGGTGGGCGTGGCAAATTGTTTACAAAAATTAATGAGAAAACCATACTGATCTCTGCAAGATGCAGTTTTTCCGTGTGCATTTCTCACAGCTACCACGGCGCAGTGATCCAAGGCGCGTGGATTTCTAAAGACTGTGTCAGATTAATTTTCTTTGCTCTGATGCGTCCTAAAAAGCATTGATGATCTTCGTAATGGAAACACTCGAGTGCTCACTTATGCAGTGTTAATAATGTTAGATTTAGTTTTCTTTTTTGTTATGAACTAGTAGAGCATTTGACCACAGCAATCACCGGTTGCTACTCTGTTACTGAATGAAAGCAGACTTGTGAGTACAGAAACTGCCCAAGAAAACGTACTTATCGTGTCACTGCCAGCGTAATTTCAACGGCAGCCTATGCATGTACAGGTATAGTTTTTGAGAGAAGGTGGGCACTTTTTAGTACTTAACTTTAATAATTCCGTTGATTCATGTCAGAATTCAGAGTGTTGCCATTTTCTTCCCGTTGTTTCTTCAAGTAGTCCCAAACTCTATGATCATAGTTCAAGGTAGATCCCATACTTTCCAGTTTCCACGAGTCTCGCCGCAGCTAAGTTTTCTCTCCTAAATCTTGGGAATTAGATCCATGAGTACTGTAAGATAAAAGCTGAGTATTTGGTCTGCGTTGGAGCTAATTGAGTGAATTACATTTTTATGTCAATCAAATTCAAATGTAACTTTTAGCAGAAATTAATGGGGAGAAAGGCACTGCTTTGAGTCAAGAAACGCATAACCAGGCTCTTTGGCCCACTTTGAATGAACTCGGGGAAATCAACTGTTTTCAAGCTTAGATTCTACAAGTAAGATTCAGTTTTCGAGTCAATTGACACAGAATATGCGGCTACATCTTCAGAGTGTATAGTTCTGATAGTAAGAGTATCGCTAAGCATATCATATGAGGTGCGACAATTGGCCGGGATAAACCGAATTTTCCGAATTAGCAGATAATTGCTTTTTGGGTGGTCTTTTGTGGATGGTTGACAAAGAGACTACGAACAGCATGGTGAGCAT